GGGGTAAGATAAATACCAGATTAGGAGGATGGAAAGTGGGCATTAAATTGGACAGAAAGAGTTGCTTCATGTGGATAAAGGGAGCAAGCCCCAAAGACGATGTAGCATCACAAGCCTTTTTGTGTGGAATGATGTAGCTATGAAATACCTAAACCAATTCTACACCAAGTGTAAAGAGGAAATGACAGGTACGCGGCAGTGGCAGGAGACCTTAGCACACCTCCCTTCACCTCTGACAGGTTAAGTAGGCGAAGAATGAATTAGGATAGAGAGGAGCTGCATAATGTATTTCATGTGTCTGATTTAATAAATATATGTCATCTTTGTACTCTACAAAAAGAAAATATACCTTTCCTCTACGTACTCAGGAAACATTTACAAAAATAGATCATATATTAGCCCACAAAGGAAATCTCAATAAATTCCAAAAAGCAGAAATTGAACAGGCTCTGTTTTCTGACCACAGTGCAGTAAAACAGAAAATTAATGGCAAAAGTTCAAACCAGCAAATCCAAACACTTTGAAATTTAACAACACTCTATTCAAGAACTCTGGGTCAGAGAGAAAAGCAAGGCTGCAATTACAACTCATTCAGGAACAGCAACAATCAGAACATTCTATATCGATGCTCAGGAGATAGGGCTGGAAACAGGTTTCCAGTTAACCGCCTTATGTTACCAGAAAAGGGCCCCGCAAATGGACTAAAGATTCAGGCTCAGGAATTAGGAAACAATAATGAACCAAAGAAAATTAGGAGGCAGGAACGAGCAAGTTCAAAAGCACAAACTGAGGATTTGAAGACAAAAAGAAAAAAAAAACCTGACATGTATAAGAGGTAGTTCTTTGAAAAAGAATAATCCTATATAATAAAAAGCTAATATGCTAATGAGACAACACAGGGGAATGACCTTCTGGAACCACCTTTCAGAATGACCAGTGGGTGGGGCTGAGGGGCCCTGAGGCAGCTGGGGCTGCGAGGGCCAAGCCCCTTGCATGAATTTTGTGCATCGGGTCTCTAGTAATACAAATAAATTGCTGATCAACAGAACATTAACACTGAAAATTAAGAATAAGAAAAGGGGTATAATTTCACCTGCATAGTTTTTTGAGGGAATGTTCAGTCTTAAGCTAATAGTAAAGTTTAAAAAGTCTAATGTATTTATTTAAGAAAAACGGAAATTATGGATTTAATTTACAAGCAAAAAACATGAATGAATCGATATGTGAGGAAAAAGTTGCCAAGCATGTGAGGCAGTATGCATGATGGGTAGGGCTGTGGGCTCCGGCGCCAGCCTGCCTGGGTTCGCACCCCAGGATCACCTATTGGGAAAATTATTGCCCCTCTCCAAATTTCAGTGTCCCTAACTCTGAATGGTAATATCTATCTCCCCAAGTTGTTGTGCAGTCAACAAAATAACAAGCCACAAGGCCACTGGGATTTCCCAAGACACCAGGCATTTTTATTTTTCATTCTTTCAGGCTTCCAAAGAATAACTATTTCATATGCGATATTAATAGTTTCAAGGCATACAGAAAGGTGGAACAATATACATTTGACTTTACAAAATCATTATCTTGATATAAAAAGCTTACATGTTGCCAAAACCGGTTTGGCTCAGTGGATAGAGCGTCGGCCTGCAGACTGAAAGGTCCCAGGTTCAATACCGGTCAAGGGCATGTACCTTGGTTGCGGGCACATCCCCAGTAGGAGATGTGCAGGAGGCAGCTGATCGATGTTTCTCTCTCATCGATGTTTCTAACTCTCTATCTCTCTCCCTTTCTCTCTGTAAAAAAATCAATAAAATATATATTTTTTTTAAAAAAAAGCTTACATGTCAGCACAAAAATACAAATGTTCTGAATCTATAGAAATTACATATATACAAACAAATAGGATCTAGTGTTGTAGTGAAAGAATAAGACACAAAATCACGTAAGGGATTGCCCAGGAACCGATGAGTGGTTCAACATGAGGAAATCGGTTAGTCCACTTCATCATATTGCCAGGCAACTGGCAGTGTGTTCACCTAGAAACGCTGCTTTTAGTTATTCATTTAAGAAAATGGGACATGGCCTAAGATTTATGTTCACAGCTATTTGATGTACCATTATTAAACCTTTAAACAACCTAAATACACAGTAATAGGGGAATTTCTAAGTCTATATATTAAATAAACATATAACACTTATATATGGAAAGATACAGTAGGCTGTTCTACAGAAAAGACTAGTGTAAAAACCACATAAAATATTTTGAAGAACATTTCAAAACATGAAAGTATATTCAAGATATGCTGTCCACTACGTATAAAGACAACAGATTAAAATAGCACATGTAGCATTCATACACATGTGGAAACCATACATATTTATCTGTGTGTATGTACATATACGTATAAACATTTAGGTTGTTTCCTTCCTTTTGCTGCTACGCACATGCTGCAATGAAAAACCTCACACGTTTGCTACTTTGCACAAGTGTGAAGATCAAATCACCATATTTTTCTACATTTTAAGAACTGTAATCTAATTCTCTTCTCAAAAAGAAAAATGCTACAGGTCATTCACAGCAATATTGAGAGAGACGGGGGGGGGGGCACAGGGGAGTGGTGAGAGAAAACAAACATACATATAGTGATTTACAGGGGGAGGAAAAGAAAAGAAAATACAATAAAATGTCACTGTGGCAGTTTTGACTCTATTAATGGAATGTGAGAAGTGTTTCTCTCTAACTGGCACTCCACCATCCCACCTGGGACCTCTTTGATGCTGCTATATTGCTTAAAAACAAACAAACAAACAACAAAAGGACAATGAAGTTGGTTTTCGCCTTGCCTCGGGAGGATAGGCAGAAAATATCTATCCTTTATCCCCCTTCCTGGATTCTCTGCCCTTGCTTAAATCCAGATGCAGTACAGAATTGATTTAACCTTTGGCAAATGTTTTCCCTGGATATACTTAATATTCTGTCTTAGGAAAGGAGAATATCTTCATGTGAGGAACTCTGGCTTTCTTCCCAAATGCACACCCCATTGGATAGTGTCCATGGCTATTTCAAGAGTGTTCTGAACCAGTGCAATGATGTAATGGTTTTATTGGTATGGAAAATTTTGTCTGGTACACAAGATGATTTGTCTTAGAAATGGCCAGAGATTAGAGCTAAATGAAACCTGAACAAAAATATATATTGTGGGCCTGGATTTAGGAGATGGCTCTATGGACAGGATTTGGGGACTCGTTGGGTATGGAGGATGAAGGGAGAGAAATGGTGAATGACAACCGAAGTTTCACAATACACGCCCAGGGAACATTAGTACCATAGACAGACAGATGTTTGAACATGGCACAAAAAAATGATGAGCTCACTTTGGGTTTTAATAGCTCAGGCTAAGGGCATAAACTTCCACGAGCTGTCCATAAGCAGTTTAAACTCTAGCCCCGCAGACCAGATGGGCCTCCAGCTGGAGGGGCAGCGTTGAGAAGGTAGAGCCTCATTCTTCATGAAGACACCTGAGCCTGCGGAGCACTGGCAGGTAGAGAAGAGAAGAGGGAAGGGGATCTAGTGAAGGAGCTGGAGGATGAGGAGCCGAGGACACAATGCCCAGGGTAGGAAAGATGGTTTCAATAATAAGACATAAGGAGGTGTACACAGATGTAGCCCTAAGATGATGGCAGAGCTGTGATCCGTGGTTGAGATAAATTAAAGTAGAGACCTCATGCCTCTTCTCCCCCTGGCTTTCACTGAAATGAGATGAATGTACCTTTGAAAAATAAAAATGCAACGTTGAATTTAAGCAATACTACAGTGTCAATGTGTGCTTCAGTGATAAGCCAAACCTTCACTCAGTTTTAAAAGCTCTTGAACTCTGTGCTTTGGCAACTGTAACTCTATTCGTGTTGTGGTTTGTTTAATCCATGTGGATTTTGCATTATTAATTAAAATAAATGTTTTTTATTTTATTATTATTTCTTTTTTAATTCTCACCTGAGGACAAGCTTATTGATTGTAGAGAGAGGGGACAGGAGAGAGAGAGAGGGAGAGAGAGAGAGAGAGAGAGAGAGAGAGAGAGAGAAGAGACACATTGATTCATTGCCTCCCAGACCAGGGATCAAATCCACAACCTAAGTATGTGCCCTGAATGGGAATTGAACCTGTGACCTTTTGGTATACAGGACAATGCTCCAATCAACTGAGCCGCACCTGCCAGGGCAAAATAAGTGTTTTTTAAATATCAGGCTGTGTCATTTATACACCTGTGTATAAAGATTTGGGACGGCCCTGGCTGGTGCTTCTCAGTGGTGAGAGCATCACTGAAGGGTCGGGGTTGATTCCTGGTCAAAGGCACATACCTGGGTCGCAGGTGTGATCCCCAGCCCAGGTTTGGGTACTTGTGAGAGGCAACCAATCAATGTGTCTCTCTCACATGGAAGTTTCTCTCTCTCTCTCTCTCCCCTCCTTACTTCCCTTCCACCCTCTCTCTACAAAATAACACAAGAACAAAAACAGAAAACAGTGGTCCTCCAGTGAGGATTAACAACAACAACAAAAAGACCTGGGGCAAACCAAAGCCTCATAAGGTGTCAGCACCTTAAATTAGAGAATCCCATTCCTGGCTAGCCACACCCTAACAGCCCCTCCTCAAAGAAGGACCTACTTCCTCAGCCCAGTTCTCCACCTTATAGTCTCCCCACCCGCACTCTCCCCAGCAAAGCCTCCATCGCTGGTCAGCCAGATCTACAGCTGTGGGTGGGTCACCATGGTGACAGAGGAAGCCCTGATGCAGAAGGAGAGAGACAGAAACAGCAGAGGAAGGTTCTTTGAGCTTAATATGCTGTCCCCTGCTCTTCGTGTTTCTATGACTTCAAAAGTCCTGCACCGTTAAGATGTGCTTCATTTGACTCAGAGAAGCACATCGGAGGCCAAGGGAAGAGCTGCTGTGTTGGAGAGACAATGCAATGCCTGAACTCTTCTTTAAAATGTTCTTTTCTATGACTTTCAGGTGATCATCAGTATAACCATCCGATTTTAAGCAGTGCTACCCAGACCCCTGCACATGGTGAGAGATGGCTGAGAGTCCCCTGCATTCCATCCTCATTCCAAGTGGCTCCATCCTCATTGCTGATGCCCACTAGGGCATCAGGCATTCAGTCACTGATTCACTGAAGCTAAAGAGGTGTCAGGAGTCAGGGGTCCACCTTCCTCTAGGGCCATAGTACCTCATTCTCACTTCTAGATCATTGTTCCCTCAGTGCTCTGTCTCTGATATCAGGGTGATCTTCCATCATGAAAGAGAAAACCCGATACCCTTTCCTAACCCATTTTCACTTGCAGGCGTCAATTCCATACATTCACAGCAAGGAGTGAACATACTCCTTTGCCCAAGGCTACTTGTGGTACCATATAAAATGACAGGGGACTCGTTAAACTATATTGATCCTCCCAAACTAATCAAGATTTGATGAAACTCAAAACCAAACTGGGTTCTTTGAGGTTCAGCCTCTTGGCAGGGGAAGAAGTTGTAAGTTGGGGAGCACAGAAGAATCAGTATAGTGCGCAAGGGTAGCAAACCACGTTTCCCCTTTAGGTGCTAACATCCTGCCGCCAATTCACAACTTCGCAGTTGGAACTGCAGAGCAAAACTATTTTGGGTACCTGCTCAGAACTCGATGGAACATAAGATGGCCATGTAAATGGTGAACTAAAAGTCATTCTCTTCTCTTTGCTTGAAAGAATGTGAAAACACCATTGAATTGTAGTGAGAGAGAAACTCAAAACAAGGATATATTCTACAGCTTACCTGGCGGAGAGACCTACCTCTCTCACCTCTGAGTGTGCTCTGCTTCGGCATTGAGATGGAGAATATTACAGAGGAGGACAGAGTGGACTATTTCCATGTCCCCTCCAGTGCGAGGCTCCTAGTGTAAATATGTGATGATGAAAGCAACAGTTTAATAAGATGTTTCAGGTTGGGGAGTCAGGGAGAGCGTCTAGAAAAAATTAGAACTGGGAGAAACTGAAGAGATCCGTTAAAAGTTGATACTATTTCTCATTCATCACCATTTCTAGGCATGGTGATGTTGGGAGTGGCAATAGAGACATTTTGGAGAAAGAATCGGGAAAATTTAATTATAACCAATATGGCTGATAGGAGTCAATTGTGAGTGAGCTACGGTTAATTAGAAGAATGGGGGTTCTTATGAATACAATCTAAGGAATAAGGAAAGCAGCCAGTGGGTCCAGGAGATGGAGTTAGGATGGTGAGTTCGGATCTGGACATTTAGAGCTGGATATGATCATAGGATGTGCAAAAAAAGTCATTCAAGAAGCAGTTAGCAATGCGTACAAGTCTGGAGGGAGGTTACAGCTGAAGATGTAAGTTATGCTTTGGAAGCAGTAACAGAAGCCTTGGGAGTGGGAGCAATCTGTGCAAGCAGGCTGACAGAGAAAAGCAGAAGGCGGAACAGAGAGCCTGGGGGATGCCCCTGGTGATGAAGCAGCAGCAGGAAGAGAAGCCAGAAAGGGCGAGCGGAGAATGCCTCACATCTCAGTGACATCCTGAAAGAACGGCCATGCGCTGGTTTTCCCCAGAAGGAGCCAACACAAGCACGGCCTCCTAATTACAACAGGAGAAATTTTTTTTTCTTCCCCATCCTCCTACTTTCCTTTTCTGCCTGGTGTCAGGAGATGAGGTTAATGAGACCTGGTCCCTGCCCTTGAGCAGCTCACAACCTAGTGGAGGCAGAGTTTTCTCTCTACTCATGCTTTTCCCAGGAGCTGGCAGAGCAACTATTAAGAAAGGAGGTGACCTGTGTCCACGTGATTAACCAAAAAGCATTAATTGGATCACTATCTTGAGCCAAACACTATGAAGGCATCAGAAAAATTGGGGGGGGGGGGGGAAGAACGCTGCAGCCAAGGAG